AGATGCAGACACAGCCTCAGACACAGATGCAGACATGGATGCAAACACAGCCTCACGCCTGGATGGAGACACAGGAATGCAGTCACGGCCTCGGACCCCGACGCAGACATGGACACACCCGGCCTCAGACATGGTCTCAGTTACAGCCTCAGACACAGATGCAGACATGGTCTCACACTTGGACGCAGACACGGACACGGACCCAGATATTGACCCAGACACAGACCCAGTCACAGCCTTAGACCCTGACCCAGACCCAGATCTGGACACGGGCACAGACATGGAAGCAGACACAGATGGTGAACGTGTTGGAGACGTGGGCACAGACATGGTCACAGACACAGATGGTGAACGTGTTGGAGACACGGGCACAGACATGGTCACAGACACAGATGCTGACACGTTGTAGACATTGACACAGACATGGATGCAGATGCAGATGGTGAAGACACAGACACAGACCCTCCACCTCCCCAGCAGTCCCACCTCTAGGAGCTGGCTCCAGTGACAGGTCAGGCTCGGCCCCCTCCCAGCGGCGTCAAATGATGTCCCAAGGGTCCAGGATGGTGGGGGCAGGGCTTGCTAAGGGGCCGCTTAGCTCTGATGCCCCCGGGGCACCTCCCGTGGGCTCCATGCCCTTCAGTCACTATGCAATTGTCACCTTGGAAGCTACAGGTATGGTGACCAGCCAGAGTGTGAGAGATGCCTGCTCCTTTCCCAGATGCCTGGGCACCTACAGAAGCCCTCCACTGATCAGCCACCTGAACCTCTCAGCAGCTCCCGACCTCTCACCAGTCACCCTGACGCCTCAGCAGCCCCCAGCCCCTCATGTGCTCCCTGACCCCTCCCCAGCCCCCTGATACCTCACTAGGCCCCCGTCGCACCAGCCCCCCGATCCATCGCCAACCACCCAACACCTCACCAGGCCTTCATTCAGCACCAGTCTTCCGACACCTTGCCAGCCCCTTGTCTCCTCACCAGGCCCCCACAACACTTCCCAGTCCCCCAACACCTCACATGCCCCTCATCTTCTCACCAGGCCCCATGACACTTCACCAGCCCCCCAACACCTCACGTGCCCCCCATCTCTTCACCAGCCCCCAATACCTCACCAGCCCCTCATGTACCTGCCAAGCCCGCCGGACACCTCTCTAGCCCCCTCTTTGCCAGGCTGTGTACCTCAGCTCTCCAGCCTCACACCCACTCCTGCCCCCAGTACTCTAAATCCGGAGACCGGCTCTCTGGACCCAGGCCTGCCCCAGGGGAGGGCAGCAGAGATGCCATGCACAGCAGCAGGGGTATGGACGGTTAGGAAGCGGCGCTCAGGGCCCACAGCCATGGGGTTACTGCCGTTTGCCTCCTGCACGGCCATAAATCAGTCCTTTCATTTACCAACTTCAAGCTTCCTCCTCAAACGGCCCCAGCACACTGCCCAGCCTGGGAGCCGAGGACATGCCAAGCCACGGCCAGTGCCCCTGCTGCTGGCCCACCTGTGGGCAGTGGGCAAGACCCACCAGGCCTGTGAGGGACTGCCAGCCCTGGCCTCCAGCGGCCAAGAGCCGAGGGCAGTCCCAGGGCCCTCCACTATGTGCCGGCTGAGTGAGGGCAGCCCCCCAGCCCAGGGGCACCATCCCCACACCCTGGAGTCTCCCCCTAGTCCCCGCCTCTCTACGCTCAGGGCCGAGGGTGTGCTCTGGGTCCTGGGGGAGAGACCACCCATGCGGGCTGAGGTGGGAATCACAGGGGTTCCTCATGGAGGGCAGGCCCCCGCAGAGGGCACGGCCCACGGGTCCCAGCACAGGCCCCTCCACCCCCATCCCGGCCCTCTCAGCTGTATCCGCGCTGTCTGAGGGGGGCCGGGGGGGCTCCCTGTGTTACCTGTTTGGCAAGGAAGTTCAGGGCAGACAATCTGGGGATCTGCAAGAGGAAAAGAGGCCGGGGGTCTGGTCAGTCTCTGCTGCGTGCCCCCCATCTCCTCACCAGGCCCCACAACACCTATGCATGGCGCTGACCCACAGCCCAGACAGCAGAGGGCTGGCCTGTCTCCCCGGCCGCCCCGCTCACAGGCTGTTCTGGGTTGAACTGTGTCCTCCGAAAAGACACAGTCCTACCCCTGTATCAGTGAATGTGAACTCCCTTGGGGAAGGTCTTTGTAGATGTTGTCAGTTAATTTAGAGAGGTCATCCTGGAGTAGGGTGGGACCTTACCCTATCAGAGTAGAGTCTCATAAACGAGGACAGACATGGAGACAGACTCACACACCGGGCAACATCACGTGAGGACCCACTACAAGCGCCAGGGAGCGTCGGGAGCCACAGGAGGCAGGGAGGGGGCGTGAAGCCTCTCCTCTCTGAGTCCTCAGAGGGAATCAGCACAGCCAGCACCCTGATCGCAGCCTCCCAGCCTCCAGAACTCTGAGATAATGAATGTTTGTTCTTAGAGGCCCCCCCGACTTGGTGGTACGTGTACACACGGCAGCATGGGACACTCAGACACGGGACCCTGGGTGAGACTGGAGTCTGCCTGTTAGTGAGTGCCCAGAACCCTCTCCCCACCTGGGCCAGTGACTGCCCTCCCCTCGCTTACACACCGAGAGTGGGGACTCGGCCAGTGCATGGAGGGGCCCCCGGGCTTGGATGGCCAGGGACAGGAGGCCTGGCCGCCTACTATGGACTGTACTGTGTTCCTCCAAAATATGTGTTGAATTCCCAGCCCGTGTACCTGGGGGTATAATCCTGTTTGGAAATAAGGTTTTTCTTTAGTTATGTTATGGGGTCATACCAGAGTAGGGTATATCCTAAACCTAATCAACCAAACCCTTCTGAGTTATAAAAAGGACCAGAAGAGACACGGGGGGAAGAGGAGGAGGGATGATGGAGGCCAATGCAACTATAAGGATTGCTGGCAGCTACTAAAAGCTGGAAGAGACAAACAAGAACCTTCCCTTAGAATCGATGCCCTGACTTCCGACTTCTAGCCTCCTGAACTGTGAGAAAATAAATTCCTGTTCCTCAAAGCCACCACCTGTGGTACGTTTTGTTACAGCAGCACTAAGACTCTAAGACACCAAGACATCGTCTCCTCCTCCCAGCCCCCCTTGGCCCCTGGTGGCCGGTGGCCCCTCACCTGGGCACAGGATGTCTTCCATGTCATCAATGAACTTCTCGGCCACCAGGTCGGAGAAAAGCGTCATGTTGCGCACCTGCTGGGGCTTGTTGCAGGCAATGGAGTTGAGGTTTTCACTCTCGTGTTGCTCGTGGAACATGTCACCGATGCCAATGGCTGTGACCGTGACAGTGTCATCACTGCACAGTGCCCGCAGGTTCAGGTCATCGTCCCGTGGGTCGTGGCGCCCATCTGTGATGACCACTGCGAACACGCGGGTCTTCTGCCGTCGGCTCTCCTTGATGAGCTTGTTGTAGGCGAACTTGAGGGCCGAGGGTGTCCAGGTGCCGCCGGCGATCCACTCGAGGTTCTTGACCGCCTCCTTGAAGCTGGACAGTGAGTTGATACGTTCATCGTCGAGCTGGATGGCCTCGAAGGTGCCCTCGTGGCTGTACTGCACCACGCCCACACGTGTGCCTACGAGGACCGGCGGTGTGCTTTGTCAGTGCCAACCTAGCCTCAGCCCCACACCACACAGCTCCTGCAGATGCCCGAGACCCACCTGCCCCAAAGGCAGCTATTTCCAGGAAGCCCAGCAAAGCTCAAGACCAGCGGCATCAGTAGCGTTGGAGTCACCCCTCACCCCATGGACCTTCTCTCACACAAGACCAAACAGAATCCTTAGTGATGTTTTTTGTATTAATGTTACCTGTAAATCCTAACTCCCCTATGTCACTCCTTTTCCTTTAATTACTACTTCATTCTCAAAAAAGTTATTGATATGGGTTCACAAATACTAACTACCGCGGTATTGTAGCTAAAGAGTCAGAAAGTTTGACAAAACCAGTAACGATAAAAACACAGACAGCAATGAAAACAACAGCGTGTGCTTGTAGCGCGTGCAGGCGAAACCATGTGACTGGAAGCGTCACTGTAATTGGGTAATAATGACAGCTCTGACTGGAGCACATTAGCTGGTTCAAAAAGTAATAAAATAGAATTTTAGCCTTGAGGGTGTATTGACACATGTAAGCTCGGCTTACGAAAAAGGGTTTTGTTGTTATAACGACAGGGTATCTTTACAGACAGTCATTTTGGTGTTACCCCCTCTGACAGTGTTGCCCGGTGAGGTCCACGCCCCCTGTCCACCCTTAGTGATGCCACTGCTCAAGACCCATTTGTTAGGTGGACACTGCGTCTCTGTGGCTCCGTCTTCCTGTTACCCGACCTCCTTGCATCCTGCCCAGCCCTTCCGTCTATAAACGGAGTCTTTCCACGTGCCACAGCCCGGGATCTCCGCCCACCACCCCGCCCCTGCAGGAGGCAGCCCGGACCTGTCTCTGACTTGGGGTCCTTGGTGATGGCACCCAGCCGGTTGACTACGTTGATAACGAAGTTCTTCTCCAGAGTGAAGTTGGTGTAGCCAATGCTCTCAGAGCTGTCGATGACAAACACCACGTCCAGGGCGCCACAGCGCTTCTCACAGTCTGCAGGCAGGGTGGGTGGGGTCAGCGGGGTCAGGGGCATCTGTGCCCACACAGAGCTCAGCCTTGGAGGAACGGGGTGCCTGTGTTCACCCAGGAGGACAGGGAGAACTCACCCACCCCGAGGGCTGCAGGGACAGTGCAGAGGAGGCAGGGACTTGGGACAGAGGGCCTGCACTCCGTGAGCACACTGGCCTCTCCACATCCCCGTCCTGGGAGTCACTGGTGGGTGGGCAGACTCTGACCCTGGGCTCCCCGGGACATGCCCAGTGGGAGAGACTCCTGCAGACTAGGGTGGGCGGGGACTCACCACAGCACCCGCATGTCTCCCTCACGTAGGTCATGACGTCACACTCCTGCAACACAGAGCAAAGGTCAGCTGAGAGGTCAGCCAAGGGGCCGTGCCTCCTGTGTCCCAGGCTCTGGGAGAGCACAGTCCACAGAGGGGGGCTTCCCAGGGACGGCAGGAGCCCAAGAAGGTATTTCTGTATGAGGGGTCCATGGGATTTTGGGTGCACCCGGAAGGGTTCTCAAGGAGAGTGGAGCATGTGAGAGGGGGGCTAGCAATACCCCTGCACCCTCTGACCTTGCCCCTGCTGACCTCACCCCTACACCTCCTGACCTTGCCCCTGCACCTGTTGGCCTCACCGCTGTACCTGCTGACCTCACCCCTGCACCTGCCGACCTGGCCCCTGCTGACCTGGCCCCTGCTGACCTCATCCCTGCACCTGCTGACCTCGCCCCTGTACCTGCTGACCTCACCCCTGCACCTGCTGACCTCACCCCTGCTGACCTCCTCCCTGCACCTGCTGATCTCTCCCCTGCTGACCTCAACCCTGCACCTGCTGACCTCACCCCTGTACCTGCTGACCTCACCCCTGCACCTGCTGACCTGGCCCCTGCTGACCTGGCCCCTGCTGACCTCATCCCTGCACCTGATGACCTCGCCCCTGCAGCTGCTGACCTCACCCCTGCTGACCTCCTCCCTGCACCTGCTGATCTCTCCCCTGCTGACCTCACCCCTGCATCTGCTGACCTTGCCCCTGCTGACCTCACCTCTGCACTTGCTCACCTCACCTCTGCTGACCTCGCCCTTGCACTTGCTGACCTCACCCCTGCCGACCTCATCCCTGCACCTGCTGACCTCACTCCTGCTGACCTCCCCCCTTCACCTGCTGACCTCGCCTCTGCACCTGTTGACCTCATCCCTGCACCTTGCACCCAGCTTTCTGGTTTTTTGAAAGGAGGAGGAAGCTCTCAAAGAAGCACACTGATTTCGTGCTGGATGGGACACCTACCGTGAGACCGGGGTCTCCAGGGGGGCCAGGCTCACCCTGGAGGAAGAAGGAGAGAGCTGTCAGAGCCGAGGCTGGGTGAGGCCCAGTCATGGCCCCAGGGCCACCTGCCCTCTGCACATCTGCCTGGCATGGTGCCCCCCCACCAGTGGACAGACCTACCTCAGGTCCTGGCTCTCCTCTTGGCCCCCGAGGGCCTGGCTCACCAGGGGGACCAGGGTCTGCCTGAAAAGGGTAAGGGCAAGTGGGTCTCAGCAAATACCCTGGCTGGGCCCCTGCACACTGCAGGAGCATGTGATCCCCACCCACAACCCCTGCCTGGGTGGGCCTGGAATGTGAAAGAAGCAAGGCTGCGTTGTTCTCCTGCACTATGCCTGGCACCATGCCCAGCCATCGAGGGGCAGAGAGACCAACAGAGCTCACAGACTAGCTCAGATAGTGACTGAAACAATTTATTCTGAACCCAGGGCCATTCTCACTCCTGATCATCTAACCACTTGTCCATCCATCTACCCATCAATCCATCCACCCATCCATCTACCCACCCCTTCATCCACCCATTCACCCATCCACACACCATCCGCAAACTCATCCACTCACTGACTTATCCACCCACCCATCCACCTATCCATTCATCCATCCGTGCGTTCGTCCATCCATCCATCCATCCATTCATCTACCTGCCCACCCACCCACCCATCCATCCATCCATCCATCTACCCACCCAACTACCCATCCATTCATCCATCCATTTACTCATCCATCCATCTACCCACCCATCTGCTCACCTATTTACCCGCCCACCAACTCCATCCAACATTCTTCCATCAAACACTACTCAGTGTCCTCCACTTCTTCCTCTTTCACTCACTCATTCATTCACTTTCCAGCCCTTGTCGGGTGCCTGCTGTGTGCGTGGCCCCACGCTAGGAGCATGAACGTGCAGAAGGCATGGTCCTGGCCCCTGCTAATGAGCACCTCTTTAAGGCGTGATGCTGGGGCTGAGGGTGAGAGCTGGGAGAGCAGGGAGGGTTGCTCTGATGTGAGCTGGGTCTCCCACAGTGCCTCAGGGCCCGGAGCGCGGCTGTCCTCTTCCAGAGGTGGGGTGCATGTGTGCGGGGGTGCTTGGGGCCAGGCCCACCCTGGCATCCTCCAGGTGTGCTCTCAGCTGCATACTCAGCTGGGGATGCAGCCCCTCCCCGAGGCCCACATCCGGCCTGGCCAGGGCCAGCGCCCGGGATACTCACAGGCTCTCCCTTCTCTCCTTTCCGACCGGGCGCTCCTTTCATGCCAAAGTCTCCTCTGCCTCCCTGGGACACAGATCACAAAGGTCACTCACGGCACAGAGGGGACGACTCACTGGAGAGCCCCCAAACCCTCCAAGGGTTTTTCGAGTCTCCCAGGAAAACTGTGCACTCAGCAGCTTGGGGTTTGTTAAATGACGATATTTTGTAGCAGTTAGGCGGCTTCAGTTCTTGTTTGCGAGGGGACAGCGGCACATTGTCAGCTGTGCACACGCAAAGTCAAACAAGGGAGGCTTGGGGGGTTCCCTTGTGGGGGGTGGCGGGGCAGAAGGGAGCTGGCCTCCTCCTCCAGCCTGTCTGCCTGGGGGCCTCTCTCTAGGGGAGGAGGGCTTCGACCCATGCAGAGAGCCACGGGAAAGACCCCTCCACCCCTAGCGACGTGTGGAGTCCCGGCCACAGTGGACAGGGCGAGCGGACTCCCCAGGGACGAAGGCCGACGAGGGCAGGTGGTAGGTTGGGGCTCCCTGTACCTACCTCAGGGCCGCGCGGGCCAGGCTCTCCCTTTTCTCCCTGTGAAGCAAACATGAGTGAGGATAACTCAGCCCCAAAACCCCAAGAGCTGCAGCTGCTGTGTCCCTGTCTGACCAAGGCAGGCACCGACTGCTGGGGACCTGGAGGTTTTCTGCAGGGCCCCCGCCCATCCCTAACAGGGTGGTCTCACAAAATCCCACAAGCCTCAGGGCTAACGCCATGCCAGCACAGTACGCTGAAACGCGCTGTTCCTGGGGCGTAGGTTTACACTCGAGATGACATGTCATTGACTTCGTGGTATCTCCCCAGCTCTCCTTGGGATCTGCCTTAGGACCTCATTACACACCCTCGCCCTCTTTCTGCCCCTTCCCTGTCCCGGGGTGGCAGGAGGTGGGGAGCCTGGCACAGAGAAGCCAGGTAGCAGCTCGGCTCCTTAATGAGAATCTTCAGGTCACTCACGACAATACCCACACCCCGCAGAAGCCCCTGGCCCACGTCAGGACTTACAGGTGCTCCTCGGGGTCCTGGGTAACTGAATCCGGGCCGGCCGGGGTCTCCCTGGAGGATGGAGAAGGCCATTCAGGGACAGCAGGTTCCAAAGGAAATGGGAGAGCTTGAGTCTAACTTTGTGGACTGGGGACCAAGGGTCCCTGGGTGTGAGTGGCAAAACGGGCGCTGTGTGGGGTTCTGGGTATGAGCAGAGGGGTCACAGGTGGGGTTCACTGTACCTCCTGATTACTAAAATGGGGATAGTGTGCCAAGAGGTGGGGTCGAGGGTAGGGGCAGAGAAGCCAAGATAAGAACTTAGACTCTCAGGCCTCCTCAGGTTGGCCTATCACCCCACAACCCTGCCTTGGGAAAGATGTGACTCCTTAGGGTTAACGCACAAGGGGGTGGGCCTTGGCTTCACTCTAGAGCTGAGAACCCAGGGTTCAGTGCCCACACCCCAAGGATGGACCTCAACTGCCCTCCTCCTACACCACTCCCCGGGCCAGCGGGGAGAGAAGGAGCTGTGTACCTTGGGGCCGGGTGGTCCCGACTCTCCACGGGGCCCAGCGTCACCAGGGTCTCCCCGAGATCCCTGGGGAGAGGAGAGAAAGTGAGGTGTTGGTAGGCCAGGGACTGATGCTCGTACAGGTGGGCACTGACATTTGTGACTCACGCCCACACGCACGCCCAGCTCTGACTACCGGGCCACACTGCCCTGTGGGGTCGGCGCGCATCTTGAGAGTCAGTGCCTGGCTCTGCCTCTTCTGTGTACCCCCGTCTAGGCACCCAGGCCCACCCGCCTCACACCCTCATCCCCATCTGCCCTTTTCCATGGGAGCACAGGAGGGGTGGGGGTGTCAGGCTGTGAGTGCATGGGGAAAGCTCTGGGCCCCGCTCAGGGTTGGGACCTGCAGCCAGCCTCCTCCTTTAGCCACAGAGGGTGCCGGCGGCCTGGGGGTGTAAGGACATGAGGAGGGGCTGGTCTGGCTTCCTGCTGCCCTAGTGTGGTCCTGGGGACAGTGATCCGCAGCCACCTGCCCTGCCCAGAGGGGAGGATGCGGGTGTGGGAGGGGGGCAGTGAGGTGATGGGCAATGAGGTGGGCCCCGGGGGTCGAGGCACAGGGCCAGCTCCAGGGGCCATGAGGGTCCTCCCAGAAGGCCGGTACTGACCTGCTTCCCAGGCTCCCCGAGAGCCCCCTGAGGGCCTCTAGGCCCAGGCAGGCCACGGTCCCCCTGGAAAGAAAGGAAATGAGGTTATGATCCTCTCGTCTGACCAGGGGCCCTCAGAGACCGTTTACAGTACAGACGCACAGCCAGCAGCGGTCTGGGGGGGGGGCTTGGGGAGGGGTCTAGAGTGGGGTGCAGAGCCTTCACCCTGCTGGGGGGTGGCATGATAGGGAAGGGGAGGGGTGCAGTGACTGTGCAGGCGAGGGTGAGTCCCATGTGCCCCTTCCCCAGTGGGGGGAACTGGGCTTTTGAGCTCTTGGTCACATCCAGGCTGTGCCCACTGCCCCATTCTAGGGTGTGTGTGTCAGGTCTGGGGAAGGCTGCTCGGCCAGCCTCTGCCTTCCCCACTCCCCTCCCATCCCCCACCACCCCACTCACCTTGGCTCCTTTGTTGCCGACCTCTCCGGCCAGGCCCCGGGGCCCCTCAGGGCCAGGGTCCCCCTGTGAAGAGAGAGGCTCAGTGGGGTCTCAGCACGGACTCAGGTCTGGGTCCCTCCTGAGAGTCTGGGTGAGGCCAGGGGCGTGGCCATGAAACTCCTCGCAGACACAGGGAGACCCCACATACCGTGACACTAGAACCTTGCTGTGGCAGGGCAGTGCGCAGCACCCACAGATACGCATGGCGTCCGCGGGATGGGCCTTGTGCAGGCTTTGTGAAGGGAGGGGTTGGGGCCTGCCTGTCAACCTCCTGCCGTCCCAGACCTTTGGGGAACACCCTCCCTGCACGGGGAGTCACTTTTGTCCTCTGTGGTGGAGAGATCTAGACCCCACACGTCTGGCCCCTGGGGATAAGGCTGGCCCCGGTCGGCACCCAGTGCAGCCCTGATGCAGGGGTCTGCCCCCACAGGCCACTCACCTTCTCCCCGTTAGGGCCATCATTCCCAGGACTGCCCTTGGCTCCGGGGTCTCCTCTGCGTCCCTGCGGAGAGAACAGGTGTCAGTGGGGGCCACTGACAGCCCTCAGGTCCCCCAGACTCAGAGGCTTCTCCACAACAGCTCTGCTTCGTGCCTGCAGCAGTGGGGGGCGCCGAGGCACGCTCAGAGGGGCGGGGTGAGCGGTGAGGGCCTGCAGATGGGGCCCAGGCACCACCACCCTGGCCACAGGACCACTCTGGAGCCCCTTTCCTGTGTGTTCACCACGGCAGGGTTGCGGGGACTCACAGGCTCGCCTTTGGGTCCGCGGGGCCCGGGCCCGCCTTTGGCTCCTTTCACGCCGGGACTTCCGGGGGTGCCACTGTTGCCTTGATATCCCTGCAGAGAGAGGACAATGGCTCAGCACAGCCTCCTGGGTGCTGCCTGCCCTGGCTCGTGGGAGCCCTCCACATTCCCCCACCCCACCAGCCTCGGTCACAGGGACTCCGCTTGTAGACAGGGCAGGAGGGACTTGCCTTGCTGCCTTTGGCCCCACTTTCTCCCTGGGGCCCTCTGCGTCCTGGGCGGCCGGCGTCCCCCTAGAAGAGTTTGGAGAAATCAGCCCCAGGCCCCCGAGCAGGGCAAGGGGTGGGAGGATGGCCGGTGGGGCTGCGCCTTGGGCGTCTCAGCCTGCTGTGTCCCACAGGCCTGGAGCGGCGGGCCGCCCTCGCAGGCAGACACGTACCTTGGCACCTTGGTCTCCTGGCTCCCCGGCACTGCCCGCATCCCCTGGGTAGCCGTCAGGGCCCTGCAGAGAGGGAGGGACAGTGAGCCCAGGCTCCTGCTGAGCGGCCGGGCCCTGGAGGTGGGCTCTGGTTCTCCCAGAGTAGAAGGCGAGCTGAGGGTACCGCAGGCGCAACAAGCACTCCATTGCCAGGCCTCAGGGGACCCCGCCCCACCATGAGCCCAGCCCCGGAGGGGACCCTCCCCATGCAGCCAGGCCTTGTCTCGGAAAAGCCTTCCTCCTGGAGCAGCAGAAGGTCACGGGGCTCAGAGGAGAAATTCACACTGAAAGGGTGTTTGCTCTAGAGAAGGGTGCCAAAGCCCCAGAAACATCCGCCCGGGCCTGAGCAGGGCGGCTGGGCCAGCCATGTGGAGCCTGGGGAAGGGCCGTCCCACCCCAGGAACCCTCTGCAGGTGTGATTCCACCCCAGCTCCCAGTGGATGCTGGCTGGGCATGGCTGGGTCCATGCAGGAAGAGTGACTCCTGGCTCCCTTGGCTGCGGCTCGCCAGGGCTGGCAAGCAGCACCCGATTGGCGGCCTGGTCACTAGCCCCCACTGAGCCCCGAGGGTTTACGGCTGCGTGGAATACAGAGCTGCACTTACCCTGTTCCCGGGGTCGCCCTTGCAGCCAGGAGGCCCGATGCGCCCCAGCTTGCCCTGGAAGGAGAAGAGAAAGCAGAAGGTGGGCCAGGGTGACCGTCACGACCCTTGTGTGCTGGTGACAACAGTGCAAACTCAGGCACAGTGGCCGTGGTCCTCTCTTCATGAGCAACAAAAGCCGTGTGAACATGCCTTTCGAGGACTGGACTGGCGTGGTAGTGACTGGGGCGGGGCGGGGGCGGGGGGCAAGAGTCAGTCCCCAGCTCGCTGGTGAGAGATAGCAGCTGGAAGGGCCCCTCCCCTCGTGTGTGTGTGCGCGCAAGTGCGTCTGAGTGTGTATGTGAACTGTCAGCTTTCCTCCTCGTGTGTGTGTGAACGGCAAGTCCCCCATGTATGTGAGTGTGTGCGTGCGTGCACATGTGTCTGTAAACTGCCTGGGCTAGGCCAGATCGGCGTGTTCTGCAGGGCAGGCTGGGATATTCCCAGGGGTCCAGGCCTTGGTTTTCAGGAGCCAAGGACTACTCCACCCTTGCTGCAGGAGAACACGGGAGCCCGCAGTCCAGCAGCCCCTGGGTGCCCAGCCACGAGCTGTGGGCAGCAGCCAGTGGGGCCCAGAGGCTGGACCCTGGGAAGGGCCGAGAGCTTGAAGAGGCTCCTGCGTGTGGGACAGGCAGACCTCGTGAGGCCTGTTTGAGCCACGTGGCTGCTGTGCTCTGTCCTACAACAGCAGAAACTCTTCATGCCCCACAGCCCAGCCTTAGTGCCCGGGATGGAGCGTGGAGCTCACTCTACCTTCCGTCCGTCGGTCCCATTCTTGCCCGCCAGGCCGGCAGACCCCTGGAATGGAGAAGGAAGACGGGACTTCATTAGCTCTGACAGGTATTCCCTTAAGCAGCAGAAAGGTGGGTGTCCATCCGGCCCAACCCACTTACCTTCCGACCATCGGCTCCAAATTCGCCCTGTGCAGAAGGAAAGCGAGGTCGTTAGTTGGCACCTTCAGCCCTAGACACTGTCACTGCTGTCTTGGGGGCTCAAGTCCAGGGCAAACACGAGGCTGGAAGAGCCTCCAGGGCAAAACCACCCCCAGGAAAGGGCCCAGACCTGCCCCACCAGGACTTGCAGTGGTGTTATAGGGGCTGAGGTTCCATTCGTGTCCCATTCAGGGTTGGGGTGTTCGGAATCAGAATCTCACCTTCTCTCCTTTGAAGCCAGGAACACCCTGAACAGGAAGAAAGGAAAGGTCATTAGACTGAGGTTTGCTGGTGAGCGAGACCAGACAGGGCAGAAATCCAGACAAGCAAGGTTCCAGGGCCCAAGACAAGCAGACTCAGGGAAGAGAGTGGGCAGGGTTGCGTGGCCAGAAGATGCTGGAAGACTCTAGACAAGCCTTGGAGGGTGATGGTGAGTGACAGCCCCCGGGTCAGGGTCATCAGCCTCGGGTGGAGAAGATGGATGCGGGGTCAGGCCAGACCCCAGTTTCGGGATGGCATTCATCATGGTGCTTAAACTCCTTGGTAACGATAGGCAGGGGGGTGGGCTGTGCCAGAGACATTTGTGACTCACAAACACTGGTGCCCTTTGTGAGGGCAAGGACTTGGGGCAGCAGCCTGCCCCTGGTCAGCAGGGGGTCCCTTGAGTCCCAAGCCAAGCCCTCTTGTGTTAGCCATCCCCTCACCCCTTCACCCTGGAACCCAGACACCCTTGGTTTGTGCTCAGTCCCCAAGTGGGGTGGACCGCAACTTGCCTTAGGTCCTGGGAATCCAATGGGGCCTTCGATGCCTGGATCTCCCTGTAGAAGAACAAAGAGGTGTGGCAATCAGCCCAGCCCTGGGGTGCTGAGGCTGGCAGGACAGGGTGGGGTTCAGTGGGGGGGCACTCACCTGTCGCCCCTTCTGTCCAGGCTCTCCTGGCTCACCCATGTTGCCCTTGGCACCCTACAAAGAGACAATGGAAAAGTGGTAAGAGGTGTCCACTGTGGTCCCTATCATCCTCGCTGCCTCTCTGAATCTAACTGCAGCTTCCAATGATTGTCCAATGACTTCCAAAGACCTCCACCCATTAGGCACCAGGGTCACTGCACTGCCATGGGTGGCCAAAGCTGCACACCAGAGGCGCATTCATTCCTAGGGCTGTGGTGGTGGCTGGGCAATACCCCTCAGGACTGGAAGAAACCAGGAGAAGGAAGTGGGGAGAGTTTGGCTGGAGGCCTGGAGATTTCTCATCTTGGTGGAAAGTGCATCTAGATACTTGCTGATCTAGACAACTCCTCCTTGAAATTAGAGAGAGAAGGAACCAAGAAGCTACTTGGTAATAACTTTATCTATTTGTAACATTATTTTAAAGTCTTTGCTTCATCTCCTTAAAAGTTACTTTCCCCTCCTCCCTTTCTTTACAGTTTTTGACAGACATGCATTGTTGAAGTTTCTGATATTCTGGTGGTGAATTTTGGAAGGATTTCTTTTATAGACTGCTGTTGTCAAGAAAATGCAGGACCATTCAAACTAGACTCTTAAACCTATCTGCTTTATTTACACATCTGAGCACGCTTGTTTATTTTCCAAGAGTATTTTAATGGCATATCTTGGCAATTAAAAACAAATTATCTGCTTTCCTGAAAATGTCCTTTAAAAGGAAGTAGACAAATTCAGAATTTTAGTTCTTTAAGAGTCAGAAGAATTTGGAACTCATCTGAGGTATACCAAAAAAATAAAACTCATTGCTGTTGTGTGGGTTCCAACTCATAGCAACCCTATAGGACAGAGTAGAACTGCCTCGTTGGGTTTCCAAAGAGCGGCTGGTGGGTTTGAACTGCTGACCTTTTGGTTAGCAGCCAATCTCTTAACCACTGTGCCACCCGGGTATAGTTGGCCTTAAATGCTGAACTGAATGAGCAGCCGAGGGGCTTTCCCTCCCGAGGGGGTGGACCCTCTGCAGTCGGGGCATCTTACCTTCTGTCCCCGGTAGCCCTTGGGGCCAGGGGGCCCAGCAATCTCCAGGCAGCTCACCTTGTAACACTGGAATAAGAATAAAAAAACGGAGCGAGAGCAGGTAAGTCAAGCAAGCATGACAATCCCATCAGGTGAGGACAAGACCAGGGACAAGCGTAGCCTGATGATTCTCAGAAGCCAATGGGTCCTTGAAACCCTGGGGTGGCAATACCCTGTCCAGCATGTGTGCTGGGGGAGGGGTGTCCCTGAGCTGCTGGTCAGGGTCAGAGGGGAGGGCCAGGTCACGTAGGTCAGGGGCAAGGAAGAAGGCCAAGTCATGGGGGTGGGGGCAGGAAAGGAGGGTCAGATCATGGGGGTCAGGGGCAGGGAAGGAGGGCCAGGTCACGGGGGTAGGAGCAGGGAAGGAGAGTCAGGTCATGGGGGTCGGGGCAGGGAAGGAGGGTCAGCTCATGGGGGTCAGGGGCAGGGAAGGAGGGTCAGGTCATGGGAGTGGAGGTGGGGAATGAGGGTCAGGTCATGGGGGTCAGGGGCAGGGAAGGAGCGTCAGGTCATGGGAGTGGAGGTGGGGAATGAAGGTCAGGTCATGGGGGTCAGGGGCAGAGAAGGAGGACCAGGTCACAGGGGTGGGAGCAGGGAAGGAGAGTCAGGTCATGGGGGTCGGGGCAGGGAAGGAGGGTCAGCTCATGGGGGTCAGGGGCAGGGAAGGAGGACCAGGTCACAGGGGTGGGAGCAGGGAAGGAGAGTCAGGTCATGGGGGTCGGGGCAGGGAAGGAGGGTCAGGTCATGGGGCTCAGGGGCAGGGAAGGAGGGTCAGGTCATGAGAGTGGAGGTGGGGAATGAGGGTCAGGTCATGGGGATCAGGGGCAGGGAAGGAGCGTCAGGTCATGGGAGTGGAAGTGGGGAATGAGGGTCAGGTCATGGGGGTCAGGGGCAGAGAAGGAGGGCCAGGTCACAGGGATGGGAGCAGGGAAGGAGAGTCAGGTCATGGGGGTCGGGGCAGGGAAGGAGGGTCAGGTCATGGGGGTCAGGGG